CAGGGGATCTCTTCTATCCGCCTCCCACTCTCTCCTTATTTATTTCAGAACCCCCTTCCCCTCCCCCATTTCTGCTGAAGGGTCTGGACCCGAAACGTCAGCCTTCCGGCTCCTGTGACGCAGCTTGGCCTGCTGTGTTCATCCAGCTCTACACCTTGTTATCTCCGAATGACCCATTCATGTTTGTTTCTGGGAATCATTGGGAAAAACAGCGCATGCGCGATGCAACTTCCTCCCCCCCGCCCAAAACAAACCCCAACCCGAGACCAAAGCACCTTGCTGCTGACGAGAGAAGCGCATGCGTGAGGCCTTCTCCCAGCGTCTGCCATTGAGGAGTATTTCTTCAGTGAGTGCAAGAGGTTTGTTTGAAACAGACTGCAACGGAGAGACCAGCGCCCAGCGAAACGAGGGAACAGCCGATTCCTTCCGGCAACATATCGAGGTGTGAGTCTCGGACACAGAGGGTGCTCTGAGACCGGCATTGATTCGGGCTCAGTTCAGGGAGAACCCGGGGCTGTTTGTAAGAGGCCGAACGGGGCCGGAACAGGTCCTGGAAGTTGGAGTGAGTGGCCTGGGCTGGGGTGAGAGGAGAGAGAGAGGCCTTTCTCGGGCTGTGTGTGGGCCTGCTGAGGGAGACACAGCGGCAAAAAGCTGCTGGGGCTCATTCTTCTGGTTTTTGATTCTCTGAACACTGATGGAAATTCATCGTTTCGCTTCTGTTTCACGTTGTTTGTTGCGAATTGGCATTGAATCGTGAAAGCACTTTATACAAATATGCTAATCCTGTAAAGGATAAATATAGTAGTCGCCGCGTTAAGAGGCTCAAGTTAAATATTTGAAATACTGCCTGTTGTTTTTCCCTTCATTCGTTAGTGCATTGGGAGCTGGGTATTGCACTGTGTAAGCATTCCATTCATGGAACCGGAGAGGTGTTGGTTACTTTTGTATCTTAGTAAATTGTTTTAGAATTTCTCAAAAAAGAATGCGACGAGGAGGAGCTTAGGGTAATTATGGAACCAGACCCTTCTCTGTTCAAATTGCTAGCTTTAGAACAAGGCATTAACATGAGTATTAACTAAATTTTGCACTCATCAGTATTGATATTTTCAAACTTGGATGTTGATTTATAGGAGAATTCTCTTTTGTCTTCTTCCAGACAAATATTTGACGGGCCAAGATAGTGTAATGTTTCCGTGGTACAGCACCAAGTGTGACCAGCTGCTCTTAACAAACAACAGGTATGTTTGCACTGTCAGAGCGGAGAATTTCCTTTCCATGGTCACAGAGCTGATTGAGTAAGACATGCATTGAGTTCAATTTCCAGAGATATACATTCAATCCAAGGGTCAACCACCAACAAAATATAAATGTATCATGTTTTTTTCTCTCTAAACTAGCACAGTTCCAGGAAAGTTCATTTTTGAAAGCCCATTATCATTCACAGCATTTGAAAAGGGATAGATTGAATCTTCTTCACAAATATGCACTCAATAACTGCATTGAATGCACATTAAACAAGGCCATTTTTAAAGTTACAATCAAAGTATTCAAATAGATCCAGCTGTTACATAGTTACAATGAACATATATGAAGTTGATATTGAGCACAGACATAGTAGGAAACTTTTGAGTATGTCTGATCTGTATGGATTAAAAACCTTAATAACTACTCTTTCAGACTCTCGTAACTGAAACTGCCGGATACAGATTGATAACTAAACACTCACGTAGCAAAACAGTGTCATGGACAGACTGATCATTTCAGAAATATATTCACTGAAGAGAAACTGACAGGAAGAGAATGATAAATATACTCAGGTTCCCACATACCAGAAATTTACAGGAACAGGTTGATAACTACAGTCATCTTCTCCCGACGGCAGAAAATGACAGGGACAGGTTGATAACTATAGTCACATATTCATATTGCAGTAACTTTCAGGGACAGATTCATGACACTCACAGGTTGACATGACAGAAACTTGACAGATAACTACACTCCCTTATTCACATTGCACATACCAACAGGAACAGGCTGACAACTGCACTTCCATATTTGCATATCA